TCCCTACAGCTTCAGATGCGTTGGCTTCATGGACATTACCTAGATGACCTGAATCACATCTGTGTCTCTTGGCCATTGCATAGTTATTTCTTTCAGAGATAGTATAAGCTCATGCTAGGGCCTGGGAAAGATTTCAAGTAGGGCCTGGGAGAGATTTCAAGGCTAATAAAGCATGAGGTATTCCCTCAGGGACTCTTGTTCCTGATACTTGCCCTGTCTGGGTGGCCTGTTTGCCCAGCCTCACGTCTTCTGGACTTGTATGCTTTAGATTAGTATTTCTCAAATGAAACATATAAGGAGGGAGTAAAACAACTAGGTTCCTCATCCAAGAGAGAGCAGAGGATGAAGGACAGGAAGCCAAAGTTGTGCATCTATGGGGGGAGAAACTCTGGGCCTGAAGGGCATGGGGCACCTTCTGTGGCTTTCAGAACAGCAGTTGGAAGGCACCATTGTGGACAAACCTGGCTATCTTCAATTCCTGGAACAAACCATCGACTTTGAAACCAACAAGGTTTTCTGAGAAGTGTAGGGAGGTTTGATTCAGAACACATACATTCGTTTTGGGAACAAATAAACAGTAAATGAATTCTGTGGATCTCTCTTTTTCTGGCTGTAACCTTTTCTTACCTTTTCACTAAAGGCAAAACTTTAGTGTTGCTTTCCCATAGCAGTTCAGATTTATTTATTAACTCATTGTGCCGCAATTGTTTGACGAAGTACCTCTTGCCCCCAGCAGCTCATCAGTGCATCCTTATGACTTGCACAGTGCTCAGAGCGTGAAAGGCTGACCGTAAGCGATTGTGGGCTAGACAGAATGAAGGCCAGTAGAAGCGGGTGAAGAACAGACACATTGCTTTGCTCGCATTATTTCTCAGTCCTATTCTACTGACAGATTGACATCCATGGCCTCAGGAAAGTGGCTTTTCTTTATTCATTTGTTCGACATATATTTATTGAGTGCCTATGGTGTGCCAGACACTTTTTAAGGCACCGGGGATATTTATGTCCAGTGTTGGGACTTGAGTCTAATATTCTAAAGATGTTGAAGGACATTAGAAGTGCTCCGGATAATTTTCCTCTCATTTCTTTCCTTGGATCAAATGTAATTTTTTTCCCTTTTATCCAAAGTTAGGAAATAGCATCAAATCATTTTAATGTAGTTTTCAGGAAACATCTTAGCATTTTCCTCCAGAAACCACTGGAAGAACTAATTTTATTTATGGGAAGTAAACAATTTTTTAATGGGTAAAATTAAATAAATAAATAAATAAATAAATAGTAAATACAGTACATAGAAAGGGGAAGAGAGCAAAATGAAAGATGAGATGGAGAGATCCACATATGATAAGCATATTGTACTATTTACAAAGTTAACTAAAATGTGTATGGGGGATTGAATTATAGGCTCACGAATTCAGATGTAAAAATGTAATTTTATTTATACCACAATTATTTTTTTTCCAAATCTCCATTTTGTCTGAGTCAGAAAATTTTATATATTCATCCTTGAAGTTGTGAACTTCAGTGAATTGCCAGTTCATTAGGGTTCAAGTCAGTTCCTTACTCCCTTCTCCCTGCTTTTACGGTGTTCGATTCCAGGGCTGCAGGAAAGGCCTACTCGGCAAAGGTGGGGAGGGCACAACGGCTTGTCCGCCTCCTCCCTGCCCCAGGGATTACCACTACCGGCTCCTCCAAGGCTCTGGCAGGACGCATACCCTCCTCCTGGCTGAGGAATGACCTCCAGAACTATGGCTTCCGCAGCCAGCCTGCAAGGGTGTGAGCCCTGGCGGTGCGCCCTGAATCCAGGGGCCCCACCTCTCAGGCCTAGCTAAGCTGGCCACACTGCCACACTTCCCCTGGAGAGGCTGTGCCATAAGATCCAGAGAGTCCTCTGTGAGGTCGCAGCTGGACCATGAGAACACACCTGGGATGACTCTGGGGTCCCCACAGGCCACAGGGAAGGGTCCTATCTTCTTCCAACCCCTCACCCCAACTTCTTGGTCCAGTGCATGGTCCACCCATGACACAGCCTCCTTTTGTGTCTCTGCTAGCACTTCCTGTTGTGCTTCACCGCTCCAGCTTGGAGTTCTGTTTTAAACAAAGAGGCAGGCTCCCTATCTGTCTATCATCTCCATTTATTGATGTATCTATTGATTTAGAAAACTCTAAATGGAGAAATTGGTTACTTCAGTAGATTCAATAGATGTCAACCAGTATGGGTTGAGGAAAGATGTGGGATCAATCTAAATGGAACAGCTTCTTATAGCTCTGGGAATTCATGGACAGTTAGTTGTCACAACTAAGCCTGCATCTTATTTTAGATTCTGCTTTAAACTTTAAGTCACTTCAGGTGTTTTTTTTTTTTTCAGCTTTTTTTTTTTAAATCAGATATACTAATGGTACCAATATTAAATAAGCACACAGCAATTATTTAGGAGAATTGAATTTGGAAAAAGTTCACGTTGAAACTGAGTCATATTTAGAAATAATTCATTCACCTCAAAAGACTCTTCAAATCGTGGTAGGTAAAGTCAAGTAGAAGGTGACAAACGTCTTTGGAATCAGAAAGTTGAGTGATGAGCTTTTCAGAAGAGCTAAGCATTGGAGAAGTGAAGCATTTATTTTCCCTGTTCTATTTAAAACACAAAAGTATGCTACTTTAATTGCTTAGCTTAAATTTTGCCATTTAAGTATTTATTATCTGAGTACGATGTATCTTGGTCTTACACGAAATCCGTTATCTGTTGTTTCTTAACACTTTCCAACTACTAGCAATTGCCAAAGTTTGTACAACATAGTTAAAGTTTTCTAAATTTATCTGTCAGTGGGAAGGTATTAATAACTTTTTTTCTGGAATTTTCTTCTAAGTCTTCTCCGGAAAACTTAGATTAGATTGAGACCTTGATAAATGTTAACTTTTATTGACTTTTGCATCTTTGATACCTAGAGTGAAGTAGCACATAGTACATGTTCAATAGAAATGTATTAAAAGAGTGATAAAATATGTGAAAAATGAGATTTTGCTAAATAGAAGTAAAGATGGAGCCAAACATAGAGAAATAACAGTTGCTTTCATAACAGAATTTTTAGATTTATTTCATTTATTCAATGTGGCTCCATAGGTTTAAACAAACACCAATGAGCAGAGCTTAGAGAAAATGTACGGCTGTTTAAAATAATACAGTGAAAATGAGAATTAGGTCTATATTTTGGTTATCACACTTTCTACTTTCAGAATAATATGTTATGTACTTACAATACAGTGTTTCTCAAAATTAGTTCCATTAAGTTCTAGTTGCTCTGGATAGTTGGTGAAAGGGGCATCCTGGATATATGAGCTTGGAAATTTTTACCTACTTGCACATTCTCTTGAACAAGAAAAATAATTTTTTTGCTTATTTAGTTTTTTTAAAAGATTTTATTTATTTATTCATGAGAGACACAGAAAGAGGGAAAGGCAGAGACAGGCAGAGAGAGAAGCAGGCTCCATGCAGGGAGCCCGATGTGGGACTTGATCCCGGGTCTCCAGGATCACACCCTGGGCTGAAGGCAGGTGCTAAACCTCTGGGCCATCAGGGCTGCCCATGCTTATTTAATTTGATATGCTGAGAAGCCTCTTTAGAAAAGAAAGATGGTAACTCTTGTTTAATCCAGAATTTGTCAAGTTGTTCTGGTCCTGATTTGTTGATTTTTGCAAACATGCATGACCATCCCCAGAGTGTTGTTTAGAAGTGTGGGGAGTTCTGACATAATAACACTTGAGTAATATTCACTCGAAGATCATAGATGACATGTTTTCCATAAGCAGGAATGGAACTCATTAGTTTATTTTTCCCTCGCTCTTTCATCTGTTATTAACTGTTGAATTCCCTTTTTTTTTGGTCAATATCCACCTGAGGGTCTATCAAATGAAAAGCATACGGAGAATTTCCTGGTGAAGCAATAGGCTCATCCGATACTAGAATAACACTGCACTCAGCTCCACGCCAGACAGCTGGCTCAGAGGAAGTTATGGGGTGTGTTCAGACCACGGGGGCCTCGCACCCTTGTTATGCACCTGTTGAATAGTTGCTCTGCAACAACATCTTGTTAGGCTTTCAACCTTAGAGCTTCAGGTTTGCAGAGGTAGCTCTGGAGACAAAACAATGTGTCATCCAACTTTAGGTCGGATGCATTGCCTTTTTTTTTTTTTCTAAAATAAATGATTCTTTTCTTGTAAGATATATTTCCAAAATATCACATCCCTGGCCTTCTGAATACAATGTTTGTGATAGTAACATGGATTCTTTACTGAGACATTTTCTCTCCTCCTCCTCTTCCTTGTGAGGACTTTTATTTTATTTTATTGTGATGAAACACATGAGGTCTATCATCTTAGCCAATGATAAGTACACGTTACTGTTGCCTCGAGGCTCGATGTTGTACATCTGATCTTACTTAAGTAAGCCTTCATGCCAGTGGATTAATAACACCCCACCTCGACTGCCCAAGCCCCTCGTGAGTTTGATTATTTTATTTTAGGTCCTTTATGTAAGTGGTGCCACGCAGTACTTGCCTTTCTACGTACTCAGATATTTTCTCAACCTGGACTGTTTCAATCCTTGTTTCTGTAGATATTCATTCACAAGGAATGACTGCAATGTTGTTTTATTTTTAGGGCATACAATTGCTTCACACACATATTCTCACTTAGGCTACGGTATCAAGTCAGGTCACCTTTGTCATTTTGTCTATTATAGAGATAAGAAATTAAAGTCCATACATTTATTTAGCTATGGAGTTGGCACAACAGAAATTTGAACCCAAGTCTTCAGACTAACCTGTACTAAATTACAGGGCTATATCTACGAATAATCTCAAGTGGATTGCTTGAAGTATGATAATGATTGGATGGCATAATACACCAACAGCACATGCTGATTTTTTCTTTTAAGAAGAATTCTGAGATTAATTTGTTTTTTTTTGTTTGTTTGTTTTGTTTTTGTTTTTCAATTGCTTAGGGTTGGTGCAAATGTTCAGTTCTCCTGTGAGGACAATTATGTGCTCCAGGGATCCAAGAGCATAACCTGTCAGAGAGTCACAGAGACACTGGCTGCGTGGAGCGACCATCGGCCCATTTGCCGAGGTAAGGTGCATGCCATGATGTCGTCACCCCGGTTCTGTCTTCCATCACGGTTGGCATGTTTTGTGAATGCACAGTGAGAGTGAAGTGCAAAGCAACACTGTGTGTGCTATGTACAGACACAGCAGAACAAGGAGGGTAAGGATGCACATTTCCCTAGTGAGGTGGGTGGGAAAGAAATAGGTCTTTGAAATTGGTTAGGAAGCAAGCATTTTCAAGGATATTAGTGGTTTTTAAATTTCAGGAACCATGTGAGCAAATCTAATCATTCAAATGCATGCATACACACTTACTCAGTACAACTTGGCACTCATCTATATATATATACACAGTTTGCATATTATGAAAATAGGTTACATAACTGGATTCTTAGGCAAGTTTTATGCACGCCCCTGCAAATCTAAAAATGCTCACCTTTCAATGGCAGTGAGGTTAATTCTTGGGTTTTGATGATACCAGTGATGAAGGGAGTTTGTTAGCAATATCCTGAGTTAATATTTCACTGATAAATGGTCTTAAAATAATGTCTGACGTAGTAGAACACAATAATGTATCATCATCTCCTTCTTTAAAGATGTCAAAGTATTGATTTGTCACTGCCAGGAAGTATATGAACAGTCCTACCAGAATTTTACAAACCACAGTAAAACCAACAGAAAACTGGTTTTAATATGGAAAGTTAATAAAATCTGAAGGAAAACTAGGTTTTTTTCCCATAAAAAATTATGCCATAAAATAATTTATGCAAATCTGCACTTTTAAAGGAAGGAGGGAACAAAAGCACAAAGTTGACCCAAGGAATAAAAAAGGAAGTTACATAGAAGAATATCTTATACCTCCTTATAGCCTTTTTAAGATTCATATTTTATGAATTTTAAACAATGTCAGATATACCCTGTGAAATCAAGTAGTTAGCAGACACGTTGCTAGCTTATCTAAGATAAAAGACTGTGTTGCAGGATTTGCTCTGTTGTACCCTTTACCTATAACTGCTTGAAGTTTTGTAACCTGTGGGAAGTGCACCATTGTGGCATGTGCATGACCCTGAGGACAAAGCGTGTCCTGGCCTCAGGACGCTCCTTCCCACGCTTCTTAGAGGTGCACCTAAGACCAATCTCTCTGGTCTAGGAAATGTGAACTCTGTGCCCTTCTGTACTTTGTCTCTAGGCTCCTTTGTCTAATACTAAAGTGACAGTACCTGGCTTGCAAAGGAATGATCACAAGAGTCATGTTCCTACCAGGGGATGGTAATGTTTAATGTTCTTAGAAATAAATGAGGACTAATTCACCTGTATCATTTTTCCCCCTAAGGGGGGGAAATGCTTTTATTCTTTAATGTTTTCCTTGCTCTTCTATACCAGAAACATATGTCATTATTTTAAAAGCCCAAACTAGGCAAAACTAGGAAATATGCACTCATTTTAAATTGATATTTTGGAGTAACATAAAGGAAATATGCATGTAGACTATTATTTGATTCTTATTTCTTAATCCATAACTTTTTTTTTTTTTTGCCCCAAATCTAAGCTCAAAACGCTCTGTCAGGAATCTGCCCCCCCACACACACACACAGTGAATACAACCTGAATTAGTATCAAACACTCAGAGGCTCTCACCTCCTAGCAGACAGGGCCCCCCACCTGGGCTGCGGGGTGGGGGAAGCCTTTTCCATCCATCCAAACTCCTCACTCTCAGAGGTAATTGCGCGGGGAGCCTTTTAGCTTCCTGTCCCCACAGATTCTCATGTCCTACTGAAAGGTATGTTAGAAGAGAAAGGCTCTCCTGCGGGATCCTTGTTGTGTAGTGCCCCTGGCTTGTTTCCCGTGAGAGACCCATCGCTCTCCAACACCCACCGTTCTCATACCCAGAACATACCTCTGCCGTCCCCTCTTTTCTCCTCCCAGCTGATGACTCAATGGTTTTTCCTTAATTTCCTGTAGAGTAATCCTTTAGTGCTTGCTCAATTGAGTTCTTGTCCTTAGTTTTTAACTTTCTGAAATCATGAGCCATAGTTGCTGGAAGTAATTCTTAAGAAGCCATTTCCATGAAGGATGTATGTTATCAGACCTTGTATACCTTATCCAGAACAGAATGTGTCCAGGGGACAATAACAAATATTTGTTTTAAAACTTAACATTTTAAAGAAATACCTATTTTAGTACATTTGGAGTGTAAAATATTAAAAAAAAATTAAAGTCTTGAAATGTTGTAAAGAGGAGAATTTGAGATATACTATTTAGAATTAGGTAATAAAGGTTAGGTGACAAAAATAACTCAAAAGGAGCTTGAACCAGATGGAAATGTGATCGTCTCTCGTGAAGAAGGTAGGAGTCAGGCAGGACAGGACCAGAATAGAGCTCTGTCCCGGGGATGGACGCAGCCTCAAGACTCACCCTGTCAGCCCAGTGGTCGCAGGCCAAGGTGCTGTCCAATATCCCAGGTACCAGGATGCAGGGGGTTAGAGGAACGTAGGGAGAGGCCAGCAGGGGTGTCCTAAGGATGGGGCCCGGGAAACATCACGTGCATTTCTGCTCAGTACCACCAGCCAAATTCCAGCCAAATATTCTAACCTGGTTGTGAGACTTTGAAATATAATTTTGAGTACAGGCAGCCAAATATACAGCAAATGATTCTATTTCCATGGAAGAAAGGGGGAAATAGATATTAAGGGAAATAGCAGTCTCTGCAAAGGGGGTACCCTTCCACAAGAAGGAGAGGAAGAATGACTCCCTGAAGAGATACAACAGTTTCTTTTTCTTTCTTTCTTTCTTTCTTTCTTTCTTTCTTTCTTTCTTTCTTCTTTCTTTTTCTTTCTTTCTTTCTTTCTTTCTTTCTTTCTTTCTTTCTTTCTTTCTTTCTTTTTCTTTTCTTTCTTTCTTTCTTTCCTTTTCCTTTTCCCTTTCCCTTTCCCTTTCCCTTTCCTTTTCCCTATCCTTTTCCTTTTCCTTTTCCTTTTCCTTTTCCTTTCTTCCCTATATCACCTGCAGCTTGCCATGAGTAAGAGGATAGCTGGTGACCATTCAGCCTTCTCTCTTATCTGTTGGCGGCATATTTTGTTCAGTGCTGAGCTTTAGCTATAAGCAATATGGATAAAAAAGCTAGAGTGGTATGTACAGGAGTACCCCAGTCTCTGACTGGAAGAGGGTTATCTGTGAGCATCATGGTTAAATAAGAACCTGCCCATTCCCCTTCTCCACCCTGTACTCACCTCCTAGCCACACAGTCCTCAAGCAAGAGGACTGGCTTCCTTGTTCAAAGCCAGCAGGAACATACATTCCTCTAGTCTGGGAAGCAGAGCCTTATATCACATCAGGTAATCACCATGTGTCATGACGTAATCAATGACTCACACAGCTGAATGGCCAAATGCATGAGTGCATCTGTGGGCTGACCCTATGGAGGATTGTTTAGAGGCACCTCTAGATTTGTGCTCTCCACTAGACATAAAATGCAAGCCATATATGTAATTAAAAATATCTTTAAAAAATCTAGTAGCCAGATTAAAAGCCAGTAAAAAAGCAAAAGTGAAACAGGTGAAACTAATTTCAATAGCATTTTATTTCACACAATATTCCCCAATTATCTTTTTTAACCTATAGTCGATTTAAAGAAAAAAATGACTTTTCTCTCTTTTTTATGCTATTTCTTGGAAATCCAGTGTATTTTAAACTCATAGCCCATCTCAGCTTGGACTAGCCATGTCTCACATGCCCAGTAGATACACTGGCCAGTGCTCACTGTGGACGTCATGGCTCCAGCTCCTGAGCACAGCGAGTGGGAAAGGAATAACACCCTTGTAGATATGAAGAGAAGAAGTGAGTTCACTGGGTCATGCCCTGTGTCCTGGGTGGTACCACAAAATACTCTCTTCCATTATAATTTATATGTTTTTCAGGCTGGCAGAATTTAGGAACTCAGGGTTTGTCATCATTCTCTTCCTTAAATTTGGCTTCTATTTGCTTCTAATGATGGCTGCTTCATCAATTACAGAAGAGCTGAAGAAAAATTTTTTAAGCAGAGATTTTTTTAAAAAATTAAAGGGATCCCTGGGTGGCTCAGCGGTTTAGCACCTGCCTTCAGCCCAGGGCCTGATCCTGGAGACCCGGGATCAAGTCCCACGTTGGGCTCCCTGCATGGAGCCTGCTTCTCCCTCTGCCTGGGTCTCTGCCTCTCTCTCTCTCTCTCTCTCTCTCTCTGTGTGTGTGTGTCTCATGAAAAAATAAATTAAAATCTTTATAATAAAAAATAATAAAAATAAAAAATAATTAAAGGGGAGGTTTTATATCTATTTCTATAAAAAAGATAGCTTGTGATATATCTAAAATGTAGGGGGAGACAGATCCCATGAACCTTAATGATTTTTCAAATACTACCCAAAACAGACTGTGAGATTACTTACTATCGATGGGTCCCAACGCCAAGTGCAATTTTCTGAGTTCATTTTCCAGTCTGTGCTATCACCATAATAAATAGCATGTAAGAAGAGAACATGATGGTTTGGGTTTTCCTGATTCATTCCGAGCCTTTAAGGGAGCCCTCATTGATCATCTCAGCCAACGTGTCCTAAATTCAACCATCTATCGAATGCAGTAAAATGCCCCTGGTCTGAGCTTTGCACCCATTATGAGATTTCAGATAGGTGAGTTAAGAAGTGATTCTCAAGGTTCCCATCTTCATGAAGGGCCTCTAACTCTTCGGTAATCATCATGGCTTCTCTACGAAAGGACTATCTGATCGAAACGTGTGATAAATTGCAGCAAGTCAGAACAAGTCAGAAGTGATCTTTCCTATCTGGACACTGGTGTGGTTAGCCAATGCTTACATTAGCTAATTAGCTTCGAGGATGGGGAGACCCTTACCTTTTCCTCCTGTTACCAAATAGGCGAATGGCTGTCATGGCTTGGTAATTATACAAGAGGGTTTGTTTGAAATTCCGTTTGCTTCACTTAGGGATATAAAAACAACTATAATAATTTTTCATGGGATAAAATATTATGAGCTGT